TTTATTAAAGACATTTAAATAATTTCACATAGAGCCCTAACTTTAAAGTATCAAGATGTCACTTTTCTTTTTACTTAATTAACTTAGTTATTAACCCTTGTTTGTTATTTATTTACTCTTTAATAATTAAGCCTTTTGAGTTGCTTTTTTGTTTGGAAGAAAATGGTCATATGCCTTGCATTAATAAAGAGATAAGGCTATTATAAAGTAAGTCCTATCTCCAAAGAAGCAATCTAGTATCAAGATATTCTCATTTGATAGGGACTAATTCTCAACTTAAGAGCAAAGTAACTCAAACACTAATCTACTGGAAAGAGAGAGCAAAAAAAAAAAAAAAAGAACCCCATATATAATTCTAGCTATCTCTCGTGTCTATTGGGTGTTAGTTACACCACTATAACACATTTGACACTATGATAGCTTAACGTAATAGGGAGTAAAACCTATCTCACCTTACTTTTGAATTGTGGTAACAACTTCCATTCCAAAGAAAACTATGAGTAAACACATTGAACTAGACCCCTCTATTTAGCCACAATAGGAATCTTGAGCAGCAAAAAAAATATCTTTTATGTTTTGACACCTCTATATTCTACAAAGAACCAACTGCATGGTTCTTCGCAAAGAGAGGTATCCTATAAATCGATAACAAATTGCACAATTCTCACGCACATAACTCCAATTGAGCCTTGAATGTTTAATCTCTTCCAAAACTAAATCTATCACCACACGGATCTTCACATGGGACGCCAATTAATCCTCCCTAGAAAACCAACCACCACCCCAACCTAGCCCATTGAAGCAAACAGCCCCACAACAACAAGGCTTCCCCAAGCCAAGCTCACATCTCGCAACCAAAACCATCTAATCCCCCTTCCATTCACCAAAATTCAGCAAGCACAATGTTGTTGCTGAATATCCTTGAGTTCCTGCTTCGAGTCGATTCTTCTTCAAATGGTCCTGCAAAATCCCGAGGTTTGTCCTCGGGGAGAAACTCCGATGCTTAAGTTAGTATTTTTCTGATTTATCTTCCTTCTCTTGTTTCCCCTATTTATCGAGTCTTACCTTGTAGGCTTTGTCCCGCTTGGCAAGGCACCCACGTGGCTCGTCCATACCCACGTGGCCTAGTCAATCCAATAATGGTGACATGGTGCGCCTGACGGAGTAGACGTTTTAGGTGAGTGTAACGTGCCTTAACGGAGCAACCGCATTAAATGCGCGTGGTGCGCTTTGGCGAAGCAGGTTCCTTGAGAAGGGGTGTTCTGGTACAGACAAATGATCAGATGAGGGTGTGCCTATTGTGGCTGTCATACACCCACGGCGAAGTGCCGAGGTGCGGTTAGCTCTGAGCTCTGCAGCCGAGGTGTGGTTAGCTCTGAGCTCTGCAGCCGGAGTTCTCAGATGCTAACTTCGACAAAGAATCTGCATGCTCATTTTCTGCTTTGGGAATCTTTGTAAGCTGGAATTTTTTGAATCGGTTTTTCAGCTCGGAGACTGCGGCTACATACCTTGCCAGGATGGGATCAATGACTTCACACATGGAATTGATTTGATTAACTACTAGCTGTGAGTCACTGTAAATCTGCAGGCGTTTGACTTTGAGCTCGGCCGCCAAACGTAGTCCCAGGAGGAGGGCTTCATACTCGGCCACGTTGTTTGTGGCCTGGAAGTTGAACTTCAAGGCGTGTTCACTCTGGAAGCTGTCAGGTCCAGTTAATACTGCTCCAGCTCCTGAACCCTTGTTATTAGACGATCCATCTACATACAGGGTCCATGTTTCTGCCCTAGAGTTTGGTTCCACCTGATTAGAAGTGCATTCGACTACGAAATCTGCCAAAGCTTGAGCTCGGATTGCCGACGTCTACTGGAATGCTATCTGAAATTCTCCCAATTCTACCGCCTATTTGATGAGTCTGCCGGAGCATTTTGGCTTCTACAAAATTTGTCTTAAAGGCTGATCAGTCATTACAATAATGGGGTGGGATTGAAAATATGGCCTCAACTTCCTTGCGGTAACAACAACTGCTAAGGCTGCCTTCTCTGCTATTGAGTACCTCTGTTCAGCTCCCTGCAGCACCTTACTGGCATAGTATACTGGTTGCTGTTGTTTCCCCATTTCCCTGACCAAGACAGAACTGACAACAGTATCAGATATTCCGAGGTAAAGATAAAGGATTTCACCTTCCTCAGCCTTAGTCAGCAGAGGCGGGGAGCTGAGGTAGGCTTTGAGCTCGTCAAAAGCCGCCTGGCACTCCGTCGTCCAGTTGAACTTCTGGGGCTTTCCTGTTTCATCCTTCTGAGCTGCAGTTCTCAAGACCTTAAAGAATGGTAGACACTTATCTGCTGATTTGGAGATAAATCTGTGCAGTGCTGCTACTCTCCCTGCCAGGCGTTCTACGTCCTTGGTTGACTTCGGCGGTTTCATTTCTTCTATTGCTTTTATCTTTTCTGGGTTGACCTCTATCCCTCTTCTGGAAACCATGAAACCCAGAAACTTGCCTGATTCGACGCCGAAGGTGCACTTCGCTGGATTCAACTTTATGCTGCACCTTCTAAGGTTGTTGAACGTCTCAGCCAGGTCGGTCAGGTGGTCTTCTGCCCGAGAACTTTTGACAACAATGTCATCTACATAGACTTCCAGGTTTCTGCCAATTTGAGCCCGAAACACGATTGTGACCATTTTCTGGTATGTTGCTCCTGCATTTTTGAGCCCAAACGACATCATCACATAGCAGTATATTTCATCTCCGGCATAAAATGAGGTTTTCACCTCGTCCTCAGGTGCCATGCGGACTTGATGATACCCCGAGTAAGCGTCCAAGAGGCTTAATCTCTCATTCCCTGAGGCAGCCTCTACTAGCTTGTCTATGCTAGGCATGGGATGACAGTCTTTAGGGCAGGCGTCGTTGAGGTTGGTGTAATCGATGCACATGCGCCACTTCCCGTTTGACTTTTTTACCATGACAGGGTTGGCGATCCACTCGCAGTAGTCTACTCTCCTGATGAACCCTGCTTGTAAGAGCTTCTTTACTTCCTCCTTAATGGCTGTGAGTCTTTCCCCTCCGAAAAGCCGTCTCTTCTGTGCCACTGGCTTCCTCAAAGGATTAGTGCTGAGTTTGTGTACTGTCACCGAAGTTGGGATTCCAGGCATGTCAGCCGAGGTCCATGCAAACACGTTCTTGTTTGCTTTTAAGAAGCCCACGAGCTCTTCTTTTTCTATGGGAGTTAGCTTCATGCCGATCTGAGTCTTCTTGGATGGGTCATTGTCGTCAAGTTGTACCTCTTCAACCTCCTCGACCGGGGTGGCTCTTGATTCGTCCTCTGGTCTATTATCTGGCAGTTCTACACCCATTACCTGTTGGGTGTTCGGGGCCTCTGAGTGGGGTGACTCTGGTGATGTGACTTCCTCCTTATTTCTTCGTGACCTCGCGACGGAGGTCATGTAACAATGCCTGGTCGCCTCTTGATTGCCTCGTAAGGTTGCTACCCCCATTGGCGTGGGGAATTTCATGCAGAGGTGGGACTGGGACACTATAGCTCGAATCTCGGTCAAAGTCGGCCTCCCGATGACGAGATTAAAAGATGAAGCCATCTTCACTACCAGGAATCTGACTGAGGGTGTTGCATACATTCGTCCGGAGCCGAACGTCACGTTGAGTCGCAGCACTGCTTCCACGGGTACTGGCTGGTTATTGAAGCCGTAGATGGGCCCATCATACTTTTGCAGGAGGGCGGGGTCGAGTCCGAGGCTCTCAAAGCAGTGATAATACATTATGTCTGGAGCACTGCCGGTGTCAATGAGCGCTCGCTGGACCTCGCAGTTGTTAATGATGACCGAGGTGACTAATGGGTCGTTATGGGGCGTGACGACCCCCTCGAGGTCGGCCGAAGTGAATGTCACAGATTGGTTTTTCCAATCCTCCTCGTCGATCTTCCTTTTCTGGGCTGCATTATGGTGTCTGACGTCCCTTACGTACAGCTTTTGCTGTTTGGCGCTTGTGCCACCTACTTCGGGTCCGCCTGTTATCATGTGTATAATTCTGGATGGTGGTGGGAGAGGTGGTGGCGCTTGCTGGTATCCTACTCCATCTCTGTTGTTTGATGCTCGGGACCCCTGGGGTTGCCCCTGTTCTTTGACAAACTTTGGCAAACTTCTGTTCTGAATGTATTCATTCAACATTCCTTTCCGGGCCAAGCTTTCCAGCTCGGACTTCAAACTTTTGCACTCTTCCGTGGTATGTCCGTGATCTTGATGAAAGTCACAGTATCTGGTGCGGTCTCTGCTTGTCGCTGGGCTCTGTAGGGGGTTTGGTCTCCTCATCTCCATCTTATTCTTGATTTGCATGAGAATTTGCGACCTCGGAATTGTGAAGGAGGTCCATG